AATAAATAAGAATTTCTTATCCCATTAGACTTTCTGTTTCGTGTTAACCGTTTCGAGCTGAAGCAAAGTAAAAAAAGAACTGTCATATCGCATCCTGTGAAGTAAAAGGAGAATGCCTGGGGAAAAAAAGAAAAAAAACGGGGGAAAAAAAAATCTGTTTCTCTCTGTATTCGCTAGATGCATTAGGTGCTGCAGTAGGACTATGTGTACAAATAAGAAAAAGAAAATAAACAACTGGCCTCCTCACCAATTCAAGTTTTAAATGTAGGATGTACTAATTTTGTTAAATTTTATGTAGTTGCTAACAATTGATATGTATTGTTCTAATATTATTATTAACGTAATTATTATTATTATTATTATTATTATTATTATTATTATTATTATTATTTATATTATTATATAAATACAAAAAGATAAATGGAAAAAAAACAGAACAAAACAAGCGTACAATGTAACACACCCCACTCTGACAAGTACATCAAGTACTTTGAGAGGGTTTGAAGTGTACTGAATAAGATAAAATAAATGTAATAAATGTAAAAAATATATTTAAATTTAAAATTTAAAATTTGTAAATTTGTAAAATTTTGAAATAGAATTTAACGAGTTTTATATTCTTCAAACTTTTATATTTTTTGATTTTCATATTATTTCATTTTTTATATTTTTCGAAATGTTTATTTTTTGAATTTTTATATATTTTGAATTTTTATATTTTTTGATTTTTTATAATTTTATAATTTTTATACTTTTTTAATTTTGTCTCCTTCTTTTCTGTTGACTCTTTCGTCTTTTGTCATTCGACTTTCGTTGCTCGTTCTTCGCACCTCGTGTTTAAACGCTCGTGTCTCGTCATTCGTCTCTCCCCTTTCGTGTCGTCTTTCGAGTGTGGTCGTCTTGTTTTCGTCCTTCATATTCCTGCTTCGTCGATCTATGTTCGTCATTCATTTGTCGTTCGTCGCTCGTCGTTTTCGTTCGTCAAAATTAGTAAATTTGTAAAATTTTGAAATAGAATTTTTCGAATTTTATATTTTTCAAATTTTTAAATTTTTTAATTTTTTATATTTTTTGATTTTTATATTATTTCATTTTTTATATTTTTATAATTGTTATATATTTTTAATTTTGTCTTCTTTTTTCTGTTGACTCTTTCGTCTTTTGTCATTCGACTTCGTTGCTCGTCCTTCGTACAACTTTGTAAATAAACGCTCGTGTCTCGTCATTCGTCTTGCCCCTTTCGTGACATCTTTCGTGTGTTGTCTTCTTTTCGTCCTTCATTTTCCGTGCTTCGTCAATTTATTTTTGCCGATCATTGGTTTCGCTCTTCTTTTTCGTTCGTCAAATTTTGTAAATTTGTAAACTTTTGAAATAGAATTTTTTCGAATTTTATATTTTTCAAATTTTTATATTTTTTGATTTTTTATATTTTTAAATTTTTTTTACCTATTTAATTTTGTCTTCTTTTTTTTGTTGACTCTTTCGTCTTTTGTCAGTCGACTTTCGTTGCTCGTCCTTCGTACCTCTTCGTTTTTAAACGCTAGTGTCTCGTCATTCGTCTTGCCCCTTTCGTGACGTTTTTCGTGTGTTGTCTTGTTTTCGTTCTTCATTTTCCGTGCTCGGTCGATCTATGTTCGCGAACATTTGTCGTACTTCGCTCTACGTTTTCGTTCGTCATAATTTGTTCATTTGCAAAATTTTGAATTAAAATTTTTCGAATTTTATATTTTTTTACTTTTTGATTTTTTATATTTTTTCATTTTTATATATTTCAAAATTTATATTTTTTTTAATTTTTATATATTTTGAATTTTTTTTATATTTATATAATTTTTATACTTTTTTTATATTTTGTCTCCTTTTTTTCTGTTGACTCTTTTGTTTTTTGTCATTCGTCTTTCGTTGCTCGTCCTTCGTACCTCTTCGTGTTTAAACGCTCATGTCTCGTCGTTCGTCTTTCCCCTTTCGTGTCGTCTTTCGAGTGTGGTCGTCTTG